TGGATTCTGGACCTTATCTGTGAGAAGCTTCTCAGAGAGTCATCTTAGATGCATAACAGTTCTACTAATCCAGGGGTAAAGAATAGGCAAGACTATACATCTCACCAAAGACCTGTTTCATGGTGCTTCTGGACAAAGCTTTTATGGTCAGCTGCACTGCTCCATTTCTGGAATGCATGGGAGACTGTATCACATCACCTTTGATGTCAAGCCTTCCCATGTATCCCCCCGCTTCTTTCATTTTTCTCTTACCACACAAAACTGGTTTAGGAGAAATCTAAGGAAGAGCTGCACAATATCTTCTGATTAGCAGCACTAGAAGCCATCAGTCTGGAAGTACTGTTAAAGTACAAAAAGCACTTGGAATAAAACAAGCCCACTTTAGGTACGGAAAGAATTCAAGTCTGCTGCTGCAGTGACACTTTTGACTGATCCTGCCCTGAGGTGACAGGTAGGATTTTAAACTCAGAATGGCAAAAGTCAACAACGTTTGGATGAAGTAAATGTTTTGCCACTGAAGCAAAATATCTGCTTCTCCCCAATCCTAGGCATGTACCCTAGTATATTTGCCCTTGCCCTTAATTTGTTTCACATCATGCATCCAGCAATGCACCTGAAAAGCAAAGCAATTTATCTGGCAAAATTTGCCTGGATGCATGTTTGAACATTGTTCAGAAGAGTTTATTCTGTAGTTCCTGTTGATTTTTTTCAGAGGGTTCAAAGCAGCACCAATACATTTAAGAACATATTGAAAAAAACTAGAAACACAGAATGGATTGTTCACTGGAAAGAAGAAATTGTCAAGCAGTGTGGTACTGGAAAATACATTTGCATCTGTGTGTACATGCACATGTATGCATGTTAAATGGCAAATCAACACAATCTTCAGTGCGGCAGAGAAAATGCTATCAGACCTCCAGCTGCAATCAAACCTCACTTCTCTGTTTCCCTTTTGGTTCCTCCAGGTTTTTGCTGCTGCCCCCACTCTCTGCAGCCAGAGGTCTCCTTTGGCACTGGCTATCATTTCCCATGAGTACTGTTCATAGGCTTGGTTCTCAACATCTTCAGAATCGTTCAGAATAAGCAACCGCTATTGCATTGCATAAAACCACACACCAGAGTAATTAGCTTTAGTTTGAAGAATAGGCTTGGCTCAAGAAAGATCCTTTGTGCAGCCCTATGAGCGCTGTAAGTGGAACAAGTGTCCCTCCCATCACTTCTCTCTGTTCTCTCACTCTGTTCGGTCTCCTAACTTCACAGGTTTAAGAACACCAACCCCCATTCAAATGACTATTGCCACATTGTTCCGGGCCCTGAAGATTCACAACAGGATGTTCAATCAGAGTGACAAATCCAGGAAGAGGTCAGCGTTAGCTGCTTCATACTTAGAGGTAGAGCAGAGATGCTGAACCCCAAGAATCTGGCCCGGTGGCAAGCACCAATCTGTCCAGAGGTCCTCACCATGAGAAGTGTCCCCACTACACCCCTTCACCCTAATTACCAATGGATTGCTTGTTTCTGGGCTTTTGCATGATCTGCCCCCACCTCCAACCCCATTCCAAAAGGTTGAAAGTGTGCTCCTAAAGCTTAATTCCTGCCAGTAAGAAATTTTAACTAAAATACACTGGTACTTTCAGTGTTTCACATGACCCTTTTTGTGTTGTCCCTTCCAACCCTGAGCATGCAGCCCTAAGAGTTTCTATGAAATTCAGCTTGATCATCACACTGAAATAGGGCCCACACCCCTACAGCAGAGTGAGCTTAAGGATCTTGCCATGGTTCACAAAAACAGCAGTACCACTTCAGATTTCAGCAGGGCAGGCAAATTGCTTCTCTGCAAGGTGGAAAGGCCTGCGCTTGAATACTGCTGAGTCAGATGAGACCATCAATCCCAGTACTATACTAGGGACCTATGAGGAATCGAAGGGGCTGGTGATGAAAGGCAGGTGAGTTTTCTGGATTTGGTCCTATGGATTCTGTTGCAATACGGAGCTGATGCAGACCTGAAATAACAAAGGCCAACCCAGCATTAGGACACCTGTTTTTAAAATGGGTTATAATTTGCTTATCCTTTTTGACTGGCAGGGAAAACTGCACAACATTTGTGCCTTTGCTCCACAATGTGCATATTTTGCTGTAAATTTGAAGAAATTTGGCCAAACTGCAGCACTCAAGCTTGCATTTTCTACAAATCTGAGACTGTCAGAAAATTCAAAGTAGCCAAGGAAGATTGTGTGCATCGGCAGGGAGAGGAGAGTGGTCCCCTACCTTTCATACTAAGTGCTACAACAACAGGAGCAGCAGTAGCTCAGATCTAACAGGCTGGTCCTGATTGGCACAAATGGTGTTAGAACCCAAAGACTTTGAGCAAGCTCATGGAAGCCAGAAAAAAGCCCTGACTTGGGCCACTTTTGATTACACTGACAAAAGTAGGCACAGAAAAATGTTGTGCCTGGCCACAACTGTACTCCAAATAATTTCTTCTGTGCACTTCTGATCTAGTCCCGAGACACAGGTAGCTCACAACTCCTACACTGTACCCACCACAGAAACATCAGAACATTGGAAGCAGCCCTACCACTGGTCCATCTGTCCCAGTACTGTCAGCACAGGCTGGCAGCAGCTCTCCAGGATTTCAGGCAGGGAGCTTCTCCAGTCCTAGCCAGAGATGCCATGGAAGCAGCCTGGGACTTTGCATGGAAAGTAAGTGCTCTGCTGAGATATGATCCTTTGCTAGGGGTGAAACCTTGAGAAAAAAGAAGGATGCAAATAAAAATGAGAAACTTCTATCTCTCCCTTTCAAAACAAAACAAAACACTGTAGCATTTTCACTGTGAAATATTCCCAAGGAAACAGCTTTTTTTCAGTCCTCCCATTGTAACTATATGCACATCATAAGCAGCAGCAATTCCTTTGAAAAAAAAAAGGGGGATATGAATGTGCTACGGTTCAGGATGAATGGAAAGAGCTGTAAGGCTCTGCTGTGCATCATTTTTAAGGAAGACTATTCATGCCAGTCCTCTTAATTTTCTTCTGCATATATATTTCAGCTGGCTGAATGAACTATAAACTCAGCCAACAACCAACAAAGGGCTTAGAGAAGCGGATGGCTTAAAAGGACGAGAAAGCCACAGTCCCCATCTTTTCAGGAAGCTTTGAGGTAAGCTGGGATAAAGACCAGGGGATATTTAGACCCCCAGCAGAGAGAATCAGGAACTAGAAACAGATGAGTCTGATTGATATTTTCTATCAGATTATCTGGGGCTTAAATGGAGTCCCCCATCCTTGTTTCAGAACTTCTCACAGGAACTGAGTTCATGTTCAATACATATATTGTTGGTAAGGAGCAGAGCGGAAGAAGGGAGAAGTGTATTAAGAAGGGAGGGTTGGTTAAACAAGCCAGATCTGACCTTTGCAAAGTAGCTGGCATGCCCACCTCCTCTCCCCACTCAACAAAACCACGGCTGTTGTTTTCTCTTTGTTCCTTCTTTTACCTCGTTCCTGCCTGCTCAAAATGTCTTTTAATGGCAAAAGGAAAGGGAGGTAGGAAAATGGGCTAGTTGGCAACTGGGGTGTCACGCTGATGCTACTGCAGATTTTACTTAGGTCCTGCCAGTTGCTGTCTTCCAACGTTCCAGTTGTTTATGATGTGAGCTAATGTCAGATGAATTTAGCTTTGCTTGCTGCTTCCTGGGTTCTGTGCCTGCTAAAATAAGCCCGACTCTCTGCATGCTGGCCCATCTGCACACAAGCAAATATGCTACCTAAGGGAGCTAATATGCACTAAAACATGCACCCCTTAGCCAGAATCTGTTAATACAAAACTAAAGTAGCAGGAAGGCCAAGAGAAAAGTTTATGAGCACTAGTTGTGATTTTCCAGTAACACCACCTTCCCATAGAAGGATTTGCCTAGAGATACGACTTTGCTTTCAAGTTCAGGCTTTTTTAATACTCTTCATGAAATAAAAGCAATGCAATAGCTTAGCACAGGGGCTGAAAGTTACTTTTTGGATGTCCAGTCCACATTCTGTGCAGAAGATCTATTTCTGTGATGCAAAGTCTCTCCTTACTGCAGAAAGCCAAGTGCTAGCCTGCTAACCTACTTTAGCCCAGCTCCAGTATCACAAATAGCAATGATGATACTGTCAGGCATAGGTAACCATTTCATCATGTGCTTTTCCACAATGTGCATATTGATGCTAATAATTCCAGGTCAGAGAACAACAATATCTGTTCGCTGAACATTTCATACCAGGGCCACCTTTAAAACAGGAAAACTCTGTGCAAATGTGCCTGAACTCACATCTGAGGTCAGCTTAATGATCCTGCAGAGCTATTAACCACATATTGAGCTCGGTGCACACACGAAAGTTTGAGTGGCACAGGGATAAGCAATGAATTCACAGTCCCTGGAACAGCATCAAACATGTATCCATTTTAACAGGATTGATGAAGTGCACAAACAAACAAACAAACAAACAGAACAAGTTAAGCATCTCTATGTTCTTAGCATATAGTAACTCACGAGCAACTTCACTGGCCAGATCGCGAGCCAGGCTACATGTTATACAGGCTGAAATAGCCAACTGACTGAGCCAGCATGCTGGACTGTACCAATGGACTGTGCCACTCCAAAATGAGGGTGGGGATTCCCTATTTTTCAATGCTCCCCCACATAAAATGCCCCCAGCACACAATAACTGGCATATCAGAGAGAAGACTATGCTAAACTTTTCTTTCTGATGAACTATGTATTCTACACAGAGAGAGATTATTTCATATGTGATACAGCATTAAAAAACATGGAACCCCCGACCTGCAGCCAGAAGTGGTACAGTCCAGGATTATGCCACCTCAGTCTTCCATTTCATTCTGTATAATGTGTAGAAGAGCTGCCAGTTTTCTGTTTTTCACCATTACTCACTACCTAAAGGTTTGGAGAAAAACAATCTACAGGCTTTTTTAGGGGAACAGATCCCAAGCACTTACTCATACTCACCCAGAACAGAAGGTTGAAGACAAACATGAGGTACTTAATGCACTGCAGGCAGTTGTGAGCCATGCTGCACCTCTTCAGTTCTAGAAGGAAAATAAAGGAGAGATCCAAGTAAAAGACCACATACTTGTTCCCTTTGGGAGATGTGTACTTAGCCTTGGTGGCCTTAGGGCCCGGGTTAGTGTGGAATCCAAAAAAAGAGTTGCTTGCGGCCCCAAACTGGCCGCCATACATGCTGCTGTAGCGACGGAAAGCGCCATTTGGAAAACTGTAATCCTTGCTGTCCAGAGAAGGGCTCCTGTGATACGTTGATTCATCCGTGCTAGATCTGCGCATTGTGACGTCAAAAGTGTTCCACAATTATTATTGACAAGGATATCTGTAGGCTTATTTTATTGAGAAGGGGCAGGTTGTGGATGGCTTCCTTATTGGTTCCCCCCACCCTATTGCTTTCTGCCAGCTGTTCTTTTGCCTGCCATCCTGTCAAATCATAATGTGTGCTGCAAAAGCAGCCCGTTGGCTAACTGAAGCCCACTCAGCCAGGAGTTAGGAAACAATGTGCTTACTTGTTGAGAAGTCTCTCATGCACAGAAAATATTCCCTTTGGTGTCACAATCTCCCCCTCCAGCTGCTAGCAGAAAAAGTGGGGGGAAGAAAGCGAGAGAAAGAGAAAGATACTGTACCCCCAAAAATTATTTTGGTTTGGTTAAAAAAGAGAGAGGTGATCTTGCTTTTTATTCCAAGTTCCATATGAAACCTTGACTCCACATTGCCCCTCCAAAAAGCAGGGATGCTGCACAGAACTGAGACTAGGAACAGAGATTATCCGAATGGCAAGCAGCTCCCGTGCCCGGCTCCTCTTGCCCACATTGCTCTGTCCAGAGGTGGCTCGAGCTCACTTAAATGATTTCCCCGTCTCCCCTCGCACAGAGGAAGCCTACGACAGTGACCGCGACTGGGGCTTCGTTCGCAGTGCTGCCGCTCCTTTGAGATTCCAATCCAGTCATGCTCTCCCTGTGCTACTAACACAGTCACAGCTCTCTGGTCTGTTCCTGCATCTGAAGCGAGAGGCAGGGGAAAGAGGCTTTTCTTACTGTATCTCATGAATGCCTGCTCAGCACTCTCTCCGGCTCATGGCCCCCCTCCCCCAGCCAATCACATTGACTCTCAGACTATACTACTCCCCCCACCACCTTCTTTAAAATAACCCCCTCCCCTCGGCTTCTTCACAGCAAATCCAACATGAGTTGTTTTTAACCAATCAGTGCACTTGTGGAGAAACTACTCCGTGTGCCTTAAACCTAATCGGAGTCATCCCCACTAAGTAATTATATTCTCACTCTGCCCTGTGGAAAGGGGGAGGGCTTCATTGGATTTATAACAAGGAACCACAGCATTTACAGCTGTCCCAAGGGTATTTGCCCCTAAAAGCAGGGAGCTTATTCATCTCACAGAAGATGCTTGTTTATTGAGGAAGAACTTCTAAGCTTTCTTTGAGAGGCTGCTTTTTTCAATCTTATTTGACATGTCTGAGCCGCTGCTCTGATTCCTCACTGTGGGGGTGTCTATGTTTCACTTTTCCATTGTTCTAATCAGACATGCCATTCACTTGACATTCTGTCAGCTTCGCTTCTTTCCATCTCAGGTCCCACTCACACAGCACTCCCAGTTGAGTGCCCCAGTGTAGTCAATCAAGGAGACAGAAAACTGTCTCTAGGAAGAACTGGTACCTTCTGCTCCCTGGGACAGCCCATGCTACAGCTGTTGGATTAGGACTGGAGAGACCCAGGTTCCAATGCCCAGAAGGCTCACTAGATGACCTTGGATCAATTACCATCTCTTACCCCAACATACTTTGCAGGATTGCTGTTAGGATACAATAGGAGGAGGAAGAACCACCATACATACTACCCTGAACTCCTTGGAGGAAAAGCAGGTTCTCATTCTAAGAAACAGAATAAATAAAATATGAAGGCTGTACATTCACTCCAAGGTCAAGCTGGTCCAATAATTGGCCATGTGAACAAGTTGCACTCCTGTGAGTGCAGGTGTTGCAAGGGTTTGATTAATGGATATATATAGATGTGTTCCCTCTATGATAAACCCAAAAAGGGATCATGGTGGCGCTGACTGTGCTGGGGAGGGTCTCCACTAGTCTCCACGAGGGCCTCTGCATTTGGTCGGTCTTTGGGCAAGACACCCTCAGTGCACCCTCCCTCCCAATGAGCCTACTTTCTCCCCAGCATTATCAGACACTGCTGCTCTTCTTCCTCATCACTGCTACTGTCTGATTGCTTGCCAGATAGAGAGCCAAAAGGCCAGGGAGCAAGCAGGTTGCAGTGGGGAAGAGGAAGAGCAGGCTTAGGGGACGTCCTTCAATGAGTCCTCTGTGGGTTGTGAGCCCCAGCAGGTGCCCAACCATGCCAGCCTTGCTCTCCACTTACAGGTTCGGGAGCTTCCATCCACACCATCAAACGTGCTGATTTATCTACCACCTAACTCAGGGAAGCAATAGCTATGATATGCTTCTCTGGGAGGAAAGACTATCTTGTGGCCACCACACTGAAAAATACCTCTGGTAATGTAGAATTAAATGTCTGAAGCCACAAAGTTCTCTAATTCTTTTAATTTCATAACCACCATTGCTATTGTTGATGCGTCACCATCTCTATACCACATGCTCCGTCTACTTTAATGACAAACTCTTCAGTACCAGGCATTCGCCACTGTTGTGTGCACGTGCGCCGTTTTCACCCAGGTTTATGCTAGCCCACGATCATCACTTAGGAAGCTGCAACTCCGAAGTTCAAGCAACAGAGAGTCGTTTCTTTCTGACAGGGAGGGCCCTTGCTTGGATTCCAAATACAGCATTCTAGCAGCGATGGGTAGTGAATATGCACAGCTACACAGTGCAATGGTGCACTGAGGCCTCTCAAAACCAGGAATTGCTTACATAAAGCACACAGCACATGAAATATATTATAAGGCAGAAAGAAGAGATGACTTGTTAGTCATTCAAACACCTTGCTGCAGGAAGAAAATACACAAGATGAAAGGCGGTATCTTGCCTGAATCATTTTTCTTGGGGAAACACTCTAAGAATTTTATTCAATTAAACAGTAAAAGGGAGAAGGAAGAAGCCTGACATGGCAAGGTCATCCTTGCAAGCCAATCACTCCTTTGAACTACTATAAATGTATAAAAATGACAGGGACTCATCTATGCTATCTTCCTCTAAATCAAAGTAGGCAGTGATTTCAACGCTTAATCTCACCTTAGATAAAAACGTGTTGCAAGGGTTTGATTAATGGATACATATAGATGTGTTCCCTATATATTCCACACAGTGCATGAGAAAACCAATTAGATATTTCAGGTTTGCTCCCAGGTGCGAAACCACCTGCCCTCCTGCACAAGCTTTGCTGGGCTAGATCTTATGGTGGTTGAGTCAAGGAGTTAAATAAGACACATCCAGAAGTTTCTAATGGCACGCTTACCAATATGTTTTCAAAATAATACTGCACACAGGAAGACAAACTGTAGTTAATGGTTACTTAAAACAAGATAACTTCAAACCATTGATTATGAAGCTGGTTTGTTTCACAGTACAGTTAAGGGTTTGGCCATTACATGAAAGTGCGGTTAATACAGAACATAATAAAAATGTCCACGCTCATTCTCATGCCCCACTGGAAGTGTAGAAGAAGCAAGTCGTTCCCCTCATGAGAAAACTCAGCCTTGAGAGAGAAGGACTGCGTAAGCTGGTAAACCTCATTCTCTTACCAATGCTTATTTAATGATGCTGTGAAAAGGAGGACATGTTAAATGAAGTAAAAATGTGCAAATTTGACACACAAATTTGAAAATCAAGGCAAAAGCAAGAAAGGGCTGAGACTGCAAGGCCTCCCTGCTGATAGTAGCTCTTGTCAAGAATCAGTCCTGGTGTAGAAACAGTGAAGCAATGTCAGGACAGAAGGCGGAGATAAGCAGCAAAGGATGGAGCAAGGACACTGCATCCAAGCAGGAGCTGTACTCAGCAAAGGCACAAGGTTGGACCAAGAAGTCCAGAGAGGCCTAACAAAATTCCAGTTGTCCTACAGCAGCCAAATGTAGACTCACAGGTGGACAAGATGCAGCAGCTTAAGACATAATCACAGCTCTCGGGTGGCATCTGCTCAAGCTGGGCAGAGCCTGAAGATCGAATGACACTGATATTAAGATACTATACCAGTTACGAGGTAATTTTTAAATATGTGGTGTATGCATCTATTATGTAAAGAAGTAAGTCAGGCTAGTCTTGGACTCAAATAATGTCCATGCAAAGATTCTCATTTTGTTTAATAGAAACTGAATGCAAATTCCATGAGATGCCTCTCTCCATATGAATGAAAGACAGCCAGTCTGGTATAGTAGATGCAGTAAATAACAAAAGCCAAGGAGATCTGGGTTCAAATCCACGCTGTGTCATAATTTTCATTGGTTGGTTATGTTGGCCCGGTCACTATTTTCGGGCATGGCCTACCTAACAAGGTTGTTGTAAGTATAACACAGAGAGCACTCCATGCATTCCCTGAATTTGTTGAAGGAAGGCTGGTGGAAATGTAGTAGTAAACCCATTTAATTTATTGAACATTTTAGGTTAAGGAAACCTGTTCACTATATATTTAAACGGACAGTACTCAGAAAAGATTGCCAGTGTGGTTATAGTGGTTAGGAGCGCAGGACTGGGACTCAAGAGATTTGGGTTGTAGTCTCTACTTAGGCATGGAGCTCACTGGGTGACTTTGGGCTAGGCACAGATCCTCAGTCTAGCCTACCTCCCAGGGTTGTACCTGGGAGGATAAGACTGAGAGGAGGAGAATCATGTAAACTGCCTTGAGTTGCTTCAAAGGGAAAAAAGGCAGCATATGAATATAATAAATAAAATAATAAATATATTTCTAACAAGGAATAAGCAGCCCTTGTAAATTATTCTTTAAGAAGCAAATGCCCCATTCTCATGAGACTACCAATAATGACGAGAACAAAGGATCACATAGGACAGTCATATGTGACACATTGCGTGAGCCGATTTCGGTTCAAAAAAGTCTGCTTGTTAGATCTTTCCATACTTCCTCAGCACCCAGTTAAAGTGCCAATACAATTTATAGGCTGGCTCTCACGCATGCTGATGCATCCTCTAACCTGGGAGATCAGCTGTGGTTCAAAGCATCAGCAATTCAAGCGTACATGTATAGTACAAATGCTCTTGATGCCCAGTACAAAGCACTCAATCAAGCACTAACATCATTGTTAACTCCCCACAGGTATGGTAGCTTGAGGCAGCAGCCATTTTTATGGTACCTTAATACCAAGGATGAAGGGTGGGGGGAGTGGAATGCAAACAATTCTACACTAGCCCGTAAAAGGAATGGCCCTGTGCTGACACCTCTACCATTTTTATTCTCTGTCTGAGTTTGCCTTTAAAACAGGTTGACTCATACATAAACCACATTTCCTATAAACCAGGGGGAAAATGAAAGGAAGCAAATGCATACAATGGTTTAGATTTTAGGCACACAGTATTAAAAGGTATCTTAGGCTGCTCCTCTTGGCCAGCTCAGGACATGTTACAAGGGACACTATGAGAAATGCCACTCCATCATGCCTTATCTATAAAATAACACTAAAATGGTGAACAGTTGGTGAACTGCTGACATCAAGATTTTTTAAAAGGCTCCTTAAATCCTACTAAATAGTCAAGCAGAGCGTTTCTATGTATGAGAACTTAATTGGCTTCAGATTGCTCTACAGCCTATTTCTTTATCTATGGGCCTGTTCGCACAATCATGGAAGAGGAAATAAGCCACGGTGCTCATGCGCTGGGGATATTTGCACAATCACTCTCACAAGCACAGCTTGCCATGTTGAGTGAGCTTTGGTAGGATGGTTTGTTGCTGTGACTACCTAGATAGCTCACAACCCTTACACAACCCATGGATCCTAGGCAGCTTAACTACAGCAACAAGCCACCCTAGCTGGGTTCACATGTCACAGCAACCTATGCCAGTGAGGCCATTATACAAATACCTCTGA